ATTTTGAATTTTGAATATTTCAAAATAAAGGCCTAGAGGGAGCTCACTTCGCGGTGCAGCCATTAGTCGAGCGGCTCATCCTCATCCATCCATCCAGCAGCCCAAGCTACACGCTTCCGTGCAAGAGAGCCTTGCTCCTGTCATTTGTCAAGCGACAAGACTGGACACTGACGAATCAGTCCGCAATCGAGCAGTGTTGCGTCTTTGAGAAATTGATTCACTCGTACGTGTACAGGCCACAATCTCGCAGGCAGGCACAGCACAGAGCAATGGTCTCTCCTCCAGCGCCATAGCCTTCTCTCACAAGCAACAGTAGAATCTGAAGTCAAATGCATGCCCTGCGCTGCCATCTGTCCGACCCGACCTGTCTTCTAGGCCAACTCGGACGCACGACTCCTAACAGACGTTTGTTTTGTTCGGATTTCGTTCGTTTGGGTGGAAATAAATCCGCGTCCGTTCAAATTTAGGTTCGTGCCGGTCGGGCGCCCAACACGAGGACGCATCTTGTCCCCGTGCATGCAAACGTGATAACCAAGGATGTTGGTCGTGGCCGCGATTCACACTAGTTCACGCAGACCGGCAACACAGCCGGCGGCGTACAATCTCATGCCGACAACAAAGCTAGCAGCCGGCACAGGAGCCAACCTTCAAAAAGACATGTTTCACGCCGACAACAAAGCCAGTGGCCAGCACAGGAGCCGGCCCTCAAAATGAACAAGTTTTTTACGCCGGCAACAAAGCCAGCGACCGGCACAACAGCCAGCCTTCAAAATGAACGGACATCGGCCACTGCCCGAAGCCTCACCTAGTTCAGGCCGTCGCGGGCGAACATCTCCTTATGCCGATTCGCGGACCAAGCCTTTCTCTCCGGCGACATGTTGGCCCTGCCCACGCTCATGAACCGGAGTGCCACCTCTTTAGTTTTGGTGTCCGCCATGGTGGCCTCGATCTCGAGCTTTTTGAGTTCAGCGGCCTCCTCGATGTCAAGCTTCCTCCTCTTTGCGGCCTCCTCTATGGCAAGCTTCTTCGTTTGGAGCTCTAGATATATCTTCATTTGCTCCTCCTTTCCTTTGCTCCTCCTCTTGTCCCTCACTTCCTTTTGGCCCATCATGTTCTCCAAAGTGCCTTGCAAGGCGATGGAAGAAGCATCACGCCTCTCATCGACCTTTGAGTTTGTCTTACCCCTCGGCCTCTTGAGCAAGTCTTCCTCATCAGCCACGGCCTTCTTCCCTCCTTTCTTATTACGAGCGGCATATTGGTCATTGAACTTGGCACAATCTTTGATGAGCTCCCAACATTGCGTGAGAGTGAATGGCTTGTTCTTGTGTCGGGTCTAGAATACTTTCAAAGATTGAAATGCCTACACAATCATTGATGACTATGCTAATGTAATAGCGAAGGACACAACATTTATGAAAATGAAAAACTTGCCAACATGAATGGACACAAAATGAAAAGGCAAGAGGTTCATACCAAGTCACCAAGGCCAAGGCCACTCACGGGACGGGTTTCGATGCTCTCAAGTGTGGAACAATACTTGTTGCACTCTTGTTGAATGACCCCGATCTCTTTTGGATTGAGTCGATGTTGCGAGTGCTCTGAAATTGATAGGGGGCAAACTTCCTTCACTCATGGAAGGTTTTATGAACCCTCCCCCAAAAGATGGCACCTTTTTTCTCAGCACTTCTTATCGGATCTTCTCCTATCTCAGTTCAACTCTCGCAAATCAATTTGTCCTCTTTTGGGGTGTATGACCCCGGGCGAATACTTCGCTTCCTCTTTTGTGCCTTGGCCCTTTGGGTGAGCTCATCGATAAACACCAATGGCTCTTGCAAAATGTCGAGCTCTTCTTCCTCATCTTCACAATACAAATCATCATCTTCATGCCATGAATTGCCATGGTCGTCTTCCTCTTCATCATGGCCAGCAAAATCAGTGTCCTCACAGTTGCTGCAACCGTCCTGGCTCTGGGTCTCGTCGGGATCAAAAGTCTGGCCTTGGCCATGGTGCTGGAAGGCCTCGCCATAGGCTTCCTCTCCACGGCGATGATGGATTCCTTCTCGTCAATGTCGGCAAGAAGCCGCGCTTGACACTGGGCGTCGGCCTCGATGACATAGGCCGCAGCCGCCTTCATCTCCTCCACCTTTGCCCGTCGGCCCCTTCTCTTTGCCACTTCGAAGTCGAGGAAGGGGGTCTCCTCCGGCTTGCACTAGGATCGAGGCTTCCTAGGACCCTTGGGACCTTTCTTCTTTGCCGCGGGGTGCGCGGCCGAGGCCGCATCGCCAGGGTTTGTCTGGTCGCCGTCCATGGAGGAGGGAGGGGAGGGGCGCGCGGGAAGGTTTGGACGAAATGGAAGGAAAGTGGGACGGCTGTGTCCCCGGCAGGCGGGCTAGGGGAGGACAAGGTCGCGCGTCCCGCCCGTCTGCGTGCTGTCCGTTTGGCCGCAAACGCGGCCAACTTTAGGCGGAAATGGGTCGAAAGCAGACCGAAAATGGACATTTGTCCGTTTGCTCCTGCGCGTTGGCCGCGATTTGTGTCCATTCACCCCCAAACGGACGCGGGCTGGTCGACGTGCATTGGAGTTGCCCTTAGGCATCATTTGGTTTGGAGAAATTTTATAAGATTAGATTCTTATAGGAATTTTTTTAGAGCCCTTTAGTTGATAGAAATGGATTCCTATTCCTACATAAGATGGGCTTCTATTCTCCATATTTCAATAAATAAATAAATAAACATGAGTCTAGACTCAGTGGAATTCCCTATGATGTGAACCAAATGACATCGCTTTTCTTATTTCTACTCATAGAATTTAAGATACATGTCATCTCATTTTCTATAAGTCTCTTATTCCTGTGATAATCCTATCTTATGAACCAAAGAAGTCTTTAAGGCCTTCCACCATGTGTTAGGTGCCAAAACTATGAAAAGTTTGCTACCTATACATCGATGCCAGATACAGAATATTTAGCATCACCCACACAACGTTGAGAATTAAGCATCGGTTGAAATTCGCCCCCACATATATAAAATAGTATAGACCAGACCAAGACACCTCACTGCCAGCGTCTCTCCTTTCTGGCTCACTGCACTCTTCCTAACCCACTGCACGTACAACGCGCTTAATTTATTTGGTCGAAGGATTTGGCTTCGGAGCATGTAGGTGCTCCGGTGCCCAGAAATTCTTATTTGGCATCGGCTTAGCAATGTAGGGCATCGGTGCCAAATGTTCAAAAAACAAATTTGGCATCACTTGAAGGCCTAATAGGTAAGACAAAACCTAGGCCTACTGTACACAAGCTAGCGCACCTCTCCCTCCTCTACTCCAATGAATGACGTCTTCATTAAGAAAGGGGACCATGCCAGACCTACCTCATGAGGGACTCTCAACGGTGCTAGAGCGACGCGAGAGAGGAAGAGTCGAATGCACTCAGTGAAGATATTGCAAATTCAGTTAACTTACATGCAATTATATTGCGCTAAAAGAAATAAAATCATAAAATGCATGGTTTTTAAATGCAAAATATTGATTTTCTTTTACAATACGAGGAAAAAGAAGATTGAAGTCTATGAGCATTAGATCACCTGCGCAACCACCACCGCGACTCCAACGTGTGACCTCAAATCGTCTGGCCAGGTCCTCTTAGAGGTAAACGGACAGAACAGGCAGCCCGACGCGTTGGAGCAAACGGACCAATATCCGTTTTCGTTCCGCTCTCTACCCATTTCCAGCCTAATTTGGGGATGTGTTTGCGGCCGAACGGAGACGAGCAGACGGGCGCGATGCGTGCCTTTGTCCTCTCCCTTGTTCGCCCGTCGGCAACACATGCGCCCCTTTTTCTATTCCCCTCCCCCCACTCTAGCCGCACCCCGGCCGCACTCCCCTCTCGTCCCTAGCCGCCACCGCTGCAAATTTTCTCGGCCATGTCGCTGTCCAGCACGGCCGGGCGCTCGCCCCTACCCTTGTCGCAACCCCGTTTTCTCGACACCCGACCTGTCCACCCCCAGCCGCCTGATTTCAGCGCATCCGGCGACCGGATTTGGAGTGGATCCAACTGAATCTAAGATCGCCCTATCGTTGGAGGCTGCGTTGTGCCATGGCCTGGCCGGGTACCGGACCGCACAGCTCGACAATGCCCCCAGGATATATGCATGCATTGACTCCGCCTCTAGCCGTTCGAATCGACCCCGTCGTCAGTTCGTCGACAAATAGTCGAACGACCGTTGTCTGGGCTCGGTGCTGGCCCAAAGGCTCGTGAGCGCACAGTTGCTGCTCGTAAAGTGTGACGATTGTCCATAGAAGGTCGTGCACATCGGGTCTACAATGCCGAAACATTCTGGATGTGTGTTCGTCAAATGCAAAAACTATGGGTATGTGCTAGTTTAGCTTCGGTTGTGTTCCCCGATTCGGTGCATATTGCTCATACTCAAATTTTTATTGTGTAAGAAGGATTCAATTTTTGATATTGGAAAGAAGAATACATCGATTTATTGATAGAACAAAATTTGATAGATATTCGTGTACTTGTTGTTAGAATAAAGACTAGAGATGAGACTAAATGTGAAGAAGCAACGTCTACTTCTTTAGACTCAAAAAAGAAAAAAGCATGCTATTGCCATCCAAAAACGAATGAAATCCGGACAATACGGTTTGGGGTCGTGCGTTTGCAACCCTGCCCGTGTCTTCGTTGCTCCAAACCTCGCTCCATGAACTTCCGACTTCCGAGGCAATTCCAGTTTTCGGGCTGACACCGCCTGACCGCCTTTTAAACGCGCCATTACGGCGCAGCACCAGCCACCTCCACTCCTCGTGTTGATCCATTCCCGTGCATATTGCCCTTAAAAAAGACCGCCCATCTCCCTCCCGACCTCATCGACAAGCTCCACTCAAGTACTCAACCGCTTCTTCCCACTCCACCCCTCCCAACCTCACTGGTACTGGTAGCTTCCACTCCATTGCTTCTTTCCACTCGCCTAGTATCCAGCGCATCACCATCATCAAGATGGCGTATCCGTTGATGCCGGAGGGCGCGACGCCGCTGGAGATCCCCACCGACCGGCCGGCCTTCTACGAGTGTTTCAAGTCCTTTGGCGTCCCCGCGGCCGCGACCGCGTTCCGCCTGGTCGCTCCGCCGACGGAGACAAGCGCGTCCCGCCCAGAACGCATCACCATCTACATGCCTCCTCCCCCTCCCGAGATGGTCTACTTCGCCAAGCGCTTCGCGTACGCCTACATCACCCCGGCGACGGCCCCGTGCCGCGCCGACCCGGGCGCCTTCATCCGCCGGGTCTTCCGCACCCTGGCGCTCGACCTGCCGCAGAGCTTCGAGCTCCTGCCCCCCGGCCACGGCGCGGACGCGACGGTACGCTTCCGCACGCCCGACGACCAGGAGGCGGCCATGCGCCGACAGCCGTTCGAGCTCGACGGCGCCACCGTGAAGCTGGTGCGCGAGGGGGAGACCAGCAACTGCTCCCGCGCCAGGAACGACTACATCGCCCACGTCGCGCTGCACGACTACCCCGTCGAGCAGCGCACCCAGGAGGAGATCGGCGCCAACTGCGGCAGGTTCGGGTTCGTCCACGAGATCGACCCGGCCTGCTTCGCGGCGCCACATCTCGCCACCGTCCCCGTCGTCCTCCAGCTCGAGGACCCTCGAGAAATCCCCCGCGAAGTCCGGATCAGGTACCATGGTGGCTCCACCAGCGTCGTCCCCGTCGAGATCGTCAGGCTTTGGGACCACGCGCACTCCTCCGACGCCCATGGACAGTATGTTCCTCTCTTCCAGGCCCCGACTGCGGCGGCTTGACAGGCACGATCATCAGTTGGTTTGGTTGTTTGCTGCTTGATGAATTTGGCATTCCCAATCCCAGCAGCAAGCAGGTAGTAGTAGTACGTAGTAGTATTTACGTAGGTCAAGTTCTAAATTAGTAGAGCCGTAGCCGGCTTTGGTCGCAGTAATGTCAGTCACTTCTCCTCTCCGTAGCAATATTATGCCTGTGCGTCTGTTTAAGCCTTGGTGAGGAGAGCAACTGGTTCACGTCTGTACCCTTCAAGTTTGATGTTTAATTAAGATTTTACCTTTTCTTTCTTTTTTTTTCAAAAAAAATGTTAAAACCCCTGCCTCTACATTAATGCGATGCATACAACCATTTTTATTAATTATTCAGCAGAGTACAAAACGAAGGCAATCATGGCCGAACTATTACAAGATATGAAATTAACACCTACGACTAAGTCGACTTCTTCCATAGCAGCACCTTCAAGAAGGTATACACTCATCGCTGCTGAGCCCGACCAATAATGGTCAGGAGAAGAGTTTTCACCCCGGACATGAAGTGTGTTCCAATCAGCATCTTGATGACAAATCATTCAATAGTCGCCTTCGTCAATACTCTACGTCAGTGCCAAACGGCACTAGCAGATTGGTGGGATGCCTTCCCACCTTAAACCACCGTCACGACCGTCGGCTGGACGCCCATGTCTCGATGCTGAACTGGCCGCTGCTACTCCACAACGGCCCCAGTCACACTGCAACATGCTCCATACCGTCGGAGCCGCTGCTCCGGAGCTAGAAGTCGACGCGGAATTAAGATTTTACCTACATCCTGACGACTGACGAGTTACCTTTTCGACTATTTTTTTCTATGGTGCGGTGTTGTATTGACTCTCTGAAGTGCTTTTATCTCACCCTTTCTGAATGTTGGGGACCAGCATGTTTACAGAGCCAAACCTATTGAGTAAAACAACTGATGAGTGTTTTGCACGGTGGGGTGATAGTGTTGCAGCCGTGGGTTCTCGCAGTGGGCGTACCGAGTGTGTTGCTGATTCAGTCTTAGTGAAAAAGGAAGGAGGGCATTGAATTGGTTCAGTCCTGTTGCTTTGTTTTTCCTCTGTTCTGGTTGGCCTGTGTGTGTCCATTAGAGCATCTTCAGCCGCGTCCCCAACAGCCCCTCAGCCGACTTTTTCGGCGCCGCCGCCCCAGTCGCGCCCCCAGGACGACGAAAAGCGCCGACTTGGCCCTTTTTTCCGCCCGTGGCCGCAGGCCGAACCCGGCGCGCTGGGGGGCGCTCGGGGGCTCCAGCGCAAGGGAAAAGCGCGGCTAGCCCACGCCGTCAGGTAAAAAGTCAAAATTTTC